GCAGCTAGCTTAGTCGCTCGCGGGCTCACCAAAGTACACCGCGACCACAACCATCTCGCCCTGCGTCGTGAGGCCCCCAAAACGCGCCTTCCCTTCCCCTTCCCCTCCTCCTTCCTCAGAGTTAAAGAACGGAAGAAACCCAAGACACCCATACGCCGGAACCACAGACGCCATAAGCACGAGCGTCGTGAGTACGCGGAGGGTCGAGAGGGCGTATCGGCGCTGTATGGCGGGCCATAGGAGGGATCCGAGGATCCCGGAGGCGGGGGTGAGGATCCCGATGGGGGGGGGGAGGGGGGGGGGGGGTGGGGAGGGGGGGGGGGGGGGGGGGGGGTGGGGGCGCCAGGGGGGGGGGGGGGGGGGGGGGGGGGGGGGGGTAGGGGGGGGGGGGGGGGGGGGGGGGGGGGGGGGGGAGAGGGGGGGGGGGGGGGACTCGCCGTCGGAGAGGAGGAACCACGCGAGGAGGTAGGTGAATGTGTTGCGGAGTTTTTTGATCTGGGAGGGGCGCAGCATCGTGCCGAGGCGTTTCCACGCTGCTGAGATCTCGCGTGTCGTGTTCCACGGTGTGTCACTCGCAGTCACAGACGCAGACGCAGAGGTGGGGTGTGCGCCGGGGAGCCAGAGTGCGGCGGGGAGTGTGAAGAGGGCCCACCAGACGCCGCTGAGGCCGATGGCGAGGCGGAGGGAGAACGTGGAGCCGTGCAGGCGTGTGACGGGGACGAGGGCGACGAGGAGGAGGAGGATGCCGGCGGTGTAACCGAGTGCGATGCCGAGAGAGGAGATGCGGGATGTGATGCGGGAGAGCTCGGTTGTGTATTTGGCGTCGAGGGCGGAGGCGGAGGTGGAGGGAATGAGGGGAGAGGTGGGATGCGCTTCATCGGAGGGATGCGCTTCGTCGTCGTCGTCGGGGGCGTGCGCTAGGTCCGCAAGGTCGGGGGATTCGCGCGCGAGGGCGGGGAGGTAGGCGTTCATTGCGACGGTGGAGGCGCCGAAGCCGATGTTGGCGAGGACGGCGAGGGGCGCGACGAGGATCCAGGCGGAGGAGGACGAGGGGAGGACGAGGAAGGCGGTGGCGGACGTTGCGCCTAGGAGAGCGAATGAGAGAAGGAGCCGCTTGCGATGCGGGGCTGTGTGCGAGTTAGCAGTGAGAATGTAGAATGCGCGTGGACGCACGGTGGTCGGCGATGCCGCCCATGGAGATGACTGTGAGGGCTTGGAGAGCGACGGACAGCGAGTAGACGTACAAGCTGCGTAGAGTCAGCGGTGGATGCGGACGGGGGTGTGCACGGACCTGAAGCTGGCGGTGTCGATCCAGAGCCACCCGATCTTGACGACACACCGCGCAGTCGCTAGCGGTGCGACGGCGGCACATGGGGTTGTGCGCTCAGGGAGGAGAAAGCCATTGTCGCGCGCGAATTGCTCGAGGCAGATTGGGAGGAACAGCGTCAGGGAGACGATGACGAATACTTCGCTGTGGGCGGTGAGCGGGCGAAGAGCCGCGTGCGTTGTGCTTACCTTGCGAATGCGTAGCTCAGCCATCCGCGGAGGTGCGTCGCGTAGTTGGATATCATGAGAGACGTGGTCGCGGTCCGGATTGAGATTCCGATCTCCGACCTCCCACACGTTGGCAGCCTTTCGTCTCTTGACAATCGCGCCTTGGCCAGAAACGTTTAAACGAGATAACCAGACTCGTAAGGATACTCAGTAATGTCGGGACTCGCGACGTACGTGCAGCAGCTGACAGAGGGTAAAATCGTGCATATCGTTGTTTCTCAACCTCCGAAACCAGTGTTCACGAGACATACCAGGACTTTGAAGGACAGGCACTTGTCGAGCTCATATCCCGGATTGTGCTGATTGCGAGTGCAGTGCGTATCCAAACAAATTACAATTGAAATGGGCGTTGATGAGTGGGTTGCCACGTCGCCAGGTCATTGGATTCATTCTGGGCTTTGCCATGCAGTCCCTTGCGATTACATTTATCGTATTCGGTGGAGCAACAGCGGTGCTTGCCTTGGTGCGTGGCTACGCCCTCATTTGCTCGCCTGACCTTTGTTGATGTGCGTCTTGTGGTAGGTGGTACTGCCTCCGTGGCCCATGTTCAACGCCCATCCAGTGAAATGGCTTCCTACAGTAGAGACTAAAGAAAAGGGAAAATAACGCTTTTGTTCTTCACAGTAACGCTTGTACAGTATGATTGCCTAAAATGTTACATTGCTCGGTCTATGACGTGCAGCTACGCGTTCTCTAGCTCCCGCCGGCATGCTTTCCCTGCTTGTGATACGCAATCACCGCGCTGCTCATATAAGAAAAGCTTCCTGAAATGCAGACGAACCACGTCTTGCTTACGATCACCAACCATATGCATATGTTGCTACGCGTTCTCTGCACACTTTCCCTGCTTGTGATACGCATTCACTCAGCCGACCACGTTGCTCACTTATAATCAACTGACCCAAATCTTCCTGAACAGACGACGCACTCAGGAAACGCTTGCTTGCTTATATTCATTCACAAAGTAAAAAAAGAAAGCCCGAAGAAAAACGCGAAAGTCCTTGCTGCCTTCCCCGCTTTGCGTGCGTGCGTGTATGCTCCTCCGCCCCTTTGCTTTTACGCCACTCGCTCACTCCCTCGCTTCTTAATCAATGTCCTTGGCTGCTTATCACTCATGCGCTTTTCTGCTATTGCGATCCTTCGACTGCTACTACCACTGGTCTCGTCGTTTTTTTCTTTCCTTCCTTCTTCATTTCTGATCCGTTTTCCCCCTTCTTTCTGTCTTTCTCTTTGCTACATATTTATGTTATGGGTATCTTTTCTCTCTCACAACTCGCACTGACCAAGGAAGCAGTAGGATAGTAAGCCCAGCTCGTCGTGCGACAGCGGCTCGCTCACTCCCACATTTTATGTCATTAGTTTCTGTTCGCGTATATAGTCTTTTTGCTCCCCCACACACTCTCCCTATACTTATTATTTTTCGATTATACACGTCATGTAATAGCCAGCAAACTGGAACGCGCGCGTAGTTTATGGCAGGGTGGAGACAGACACCGCCCTCGACGGACATACAACGGCCTGATGGTCTAGTAGTATGATTCCTTGTTAGGGTTGCACCGTTTCGAGGAGGTCCCGGGTTCAATTCCCGGTCAGGCCCTCATTGCGAAGTCTTTTTTGTCGCTCATCACGCGTCGGCTGACATAATGGGTTACTTCGCAGGCGCTGGCATGTTTGGCCAAACACTGGGCCACGATGAGCTCGTCCGCGGGGACAGAGAGCCGGCCCGCCACACAAAAGCCCCGCCCGCTCTCCATGCCGCCCTCTGCCGCCTCCAGCCCTCCCTCTCGCGACCCAACCCCCAGCAGACGCACCCCCTCTGGCTCGCGCCACCGCACAAACCGCATCCTTGGCGACTACATCCTCAGCAAGACTCTCGGCGCCGGCAGCATGGGCAAGGTCAAGCTCGCCACCCACAGCGCCACAGGCGAAAAGGTGAGCTGGAGCTGCGAAGTCCGTGCGCCACTACTGACGCCTCGCAGCTCGCAGTAAAGATTCTGCCGCGCACGCACCCCGGGGCGCCCCCGACGAGCGAGAAGCAGGCGAACAAGGACGCCTCCAAGGAGATCCGCACCCTCCGCGAGGCAGCGCTGTCTTTGCTTCTGCACCACCCGTACATCTGCGGCATGCGCGAGATGATCGTGCATCAGCATCATTACTACATGGTGTTCGAGTACGTCAACGGCGGCCAGATGCTCGACTACATCATCGCCCACGGCCGTCTGCGCGAACGCGTCGCACGCAAATTCGCACGCCAGATCGGCAGCGCGCTCGAGTACTGCCACCGCAACAACGTCGTCCACCGAGGTGCGTGGGCGCATTGTCGTCTTTGTCCCCACTCACACCCCTCCAGACCTCAAAATCGAAAACATCCTCATCTCACACACCGGCAACATCAAAATCATCGACTTTGGCCTCTCCAACCTCTACGACCCCGCCGCGCGCCTCTCCACCTTTTGCGGCTCGCTCTACTTTGCCGCGCCCGAGCTCCTCAACGCGAAATTCTACGTCGGCCCCGAAGTCGACGTGTGGAGCTTCGGCGTCGTGCTCTACGTCCTCGTGTGCGGTAAAGTCCCGTTCGACGACCAAAGCATGCCCGCCCTCCACGCGAAAATCAAGCGCGGGTTCGTCGAGTACCCCGTCTGGCTCAGCGCCGGTGAGTCGCTGCTCGTTGTTCGTTGTGCTCTTGTTCCCCACCTCACCGCCCACCTTCGCAGAATGCAAACACCTCCTCTCACGCATGCTCGTCACAACCCCCACGCAGCGCGCAACACTCACCGAGGTCCTCTCCCACGCCTGGATGGTCCGCGGACACACCGGGCCCCCCGACGCACACCTCATCCGGCGCGAGCCGCTGCGCGCAGACGACATCGATCGCGCGGTTGTTCGTGGGATGCAGGGGTTCGAGTTTGGCGACGACGACGATATCGAGCGCAAGCTCCGCGACGTCCTCGCGTCCGAGGCCTACCGCCGCGCCGTGCGTGCGTGGGAGGCCAAACGCGGGCTTGCCCTCGGGAACGGCGTGGGTGTGGGGACGACGAATGGGTACACCCACGCGCACGACGGCACGTACGCGGTGTCCCACTCGAGCCTCGCTGCGTCCTTCGACTCTTCCACGCCCACGAAAGACGACACGACCTCTACCTCTACCTCCCCCCCGAAGAAAACCAAACGGTTCTCGGGGTTCGGGTATTACGGCCGCAAGCTCTTCGGCGTCGCCTCTTCCTCTTCCTCGCCTTCTCCGTCCTCTCCACCCGGGGCCGCGGCCGCTCCATCACACGCGGGGCAAGGACACACGTCGTTGTTGTCGACGTTTGTCCGCGGACACATGCCCGGAGCAGGGTTAGCAGGGTTAGCAGGAGGAGGAGGAGGGGGGGCAGGGGAAGAGGAGGACCCGACGAGCGGGTTTCATCCGCTTGTGAGTATGTATTTTTTGGCGAGGGAGAAGATGGAGCGGGAAAAGGTGTATGGCCCTGGTGTGTTTGCGAGTTCGCAGATGAGTCTTGGGCCGCCGGCGGAGGGCGGTGGGGTGAAGGGTGTTGAGGAGAGGGAGGAGGGCGAGGGTGGACGTGATATTGAGAATAAACAGGAGGACAAGGCTAAGGATAAGGACAGGGAAGACCCCAACGCACCCACCACCGCCGCCGCGCCCGCGCCCGTGCCCGTGCCCGTACCCGCGCACGAGAAAGCAGATTATACGATTCCGCTACCGCGTCTCCCTGCGCCGGCTACGACGCATTTCTCAGCACGGGGGTACGAGAGTCCGGGGACACCGGGGCCGACGCCGACGTCGCCTGCGTTTCCCGGGGGCGTTGGCGCACAGCAGCCGCAGCCGCGGGCGAGGGATGCGGGGGCTGAGGCGCAGGGAGGTGTTGTGGGGACGCAGGGGGGGACGCAGGGGACACAAGCGGCGGGGATACAGATACAGGCGCCGCCTGCGACGACGCATCGGAGGAGCCATAGTATGTCGCAGCGCCCGATGTGGGGCGGGATGTTTGGGCATGCGCATGCTCACACCAACACTTACACCAACGCTTACACCCACGCGCAGGGGCAGGGGCAGGGACAGAGGAGGGAGGGTGTCGACGAGGACGCGGGTGAGGAGGGGGAAAAAGAAAAAGATAGGGACAAAGACAAGGAGGAGGAAGAGGGAGAAGGAGAGGAGTACGCCCCGCGAGCGGCGGGGCTCGTGAGGAAGTTTGGGAATATTTTGGGTGGGGGGACTCGGTATACGCACGCCCATGCGCGGGGTGGTGGGAGCGCGTCGGTGTCGGTGTCGGTGTCGGCGCCGCCGTCGCCTGCGCCTGCGCAGACGCAGACGCAGCAGGGCGCGCGGCCGAGTGTGGATGTGGATAGTGTCGTTAGTGCGCGGAGTGAGGGTGGGCGCGCGGGCGAGAAGGAGAAGGAGAAGGAGAACGTGCAGCCCCCGCCCCCGCCGCCAGCCCCGGCGAAAGATAAAGGCGTGACGCACTCGTTGTCGCAGCCGCTTGGAAGCGCGCATCGGCGTGCCGCGACGGTGTTTGATGCGCTTGGGCGTGGCGGCGGCGGCGGCGGTGTTGCTGGGGGAGGGGGAGGGGGAGGGGGACGGTATGGGTATGGACATAGTCGGCGGAGTTCGACGGGTGCGGCGTTGCTTGGTGCTGGTTCTGGCGCGGGTGGAGGGGGTGCGGGTGCAGGTGCAGGTGCGGGTGCAGGGGGAGGGGGGTCGGTGGGGAGGTATCGGAGGCCGTCGACGGGGTATAGTGCGCGTGAGCGGCTGTTTGGTGTGGGAGAGAGAGAAAGAGAGAGGGATGGGGAGGGTGCGGATGCGGATGCGGGAGAGGGAGAGGGAGAGGGAGAGGCG